AACTCTAGCTCTCTACGCACAATATGGCCCTGCCTTACCTTCCCAAACTTACCTCCCAGGCCTCTGCCATGTATCTCCGACCACAATACACGTGCTCAGCATTTTCAAATACATCTCCACAGTCTGACCTTCTTGCCTGTGCTCTCTCTGACTGCAATACTCCCACTAGCCCACCTCCACCTACTGAGATTCCCCCGGTCTTCCAAGGGACATCACAAATCCCACCTCCTCTGGGAAACCTTTCCTCATCCCTCAGCTAGACGCTCACTCGCTGCCTTTCACCCTCACACCACTGTGTCTCGCCTTTTTTTTTTTTGGCCGTTGGTGTATTCTTATCTGTACTTGTCCTGTCTCCCTCAGTGTACTACAAGTCTCTGAGGGCAACTACAGCTCACTCATCTTCACATCTGCCCACAGCCTGGAAAACAGCAGCTTCTGGAGAGTGAATAGTCATTGAATTAAATGATGACAATGTAATTCTCTAGTGATCAAAATTCTGTAAGTTCCAATGGCCTCTTTAAATCAGTTCTTCACCTCGGAGTGACTATTTTACTTAATTAGGGTTATAAACATAGCATACTCTAGAAAGATTTGTTTGGTTTTTGTTCTGAGATTAGGAGTTTTGTGACCCAATAAGGTGACCAGCTATCAGTCTGTCCAGGACTTTTCTGGTTTTAGCACTGAAAGTCTTACATCCTGGAAAACCCGTCACTCCCTTGCACACCAGGTTGGCTAGTCAACCTTGAAATGAGCAGGTAATCGGTAGCTTATTCTCTTTACTTATCAAATATGGATATCAATACTTATCTCCATGAGGTGTTGAGAGGATTAAAAACAATAAAGTGTAAAGCCCACAGCACAAACCTGGCTCATAGGAGAAACTGGAAAACACTGGCTTCTAGTAATAACTTTTTCCTGGTTGTGAGTACGTGGAATGGGAGTCTCCTTAGACCAAAAGCTGTGACAGTGGCTTCAGGAAGCGCCTATTTTGGTCTGACAGACTGTTTGGTGATGACAAGGAATAATGGTTTTTCTGGACCAAAGGACAGTTCCGAGCATTTGCTAGTTCATTCTTAAAGTCTTCGAGGGATGAATTCGGGGTCTTTATTGGATAAGATATCTTATGAACATAAACCTTAAGTTTATAGGAGCTCTCTGATAAACCTATGCACACAGTGGCCCAATGTAAGAAAACCCAGTTGGAGAATTCAGACTGAAAGCAAATGGATTTGGCCATGTTTATTCACATCCTGAGGAGCCTCCCTTTTATTCATCACAGGGTTCCTTTCAATTAATGGAGTTTCTCTCGTCGCAGCTTTCTGCTCTGATACAAATACTCTGTTTTGTTCTGTCCAGTATGGTCCCCTAGCCACGTGTGTCTGTTGAGACTTTGAAAGTGGCAACTGAGGAATGCGATTTTTAATTTTATTTAATTTCAATTAATTTAAATGTGGATTGCCTTCCTGTGGTTAGGGGCTGTATTGGAGAGACGGGGCCTCCAGTACGTTGGATAGCGCTTATGGTAGCCAATTAACTGAGAAGCTAAGAAGAACGTAGGCGGAGACACCGATAATTCTATTTTAATTCAAAGGCAGAATGAGCTGTTTCTGAAATTTTGTAATTCAATGGACAAATAAAGATTTATTGACCAAAAAAAAAAAACAGTACACTCTACCACAGACGAAAGTCTAGCGGAGAAACATTTGTTATGCTTTATGCTATTTAATCATGCAAGGCAATGAAGCTTAAAAGGTTAAAAGTGGACACAAAAATTAAAATTCTCTTCTGATTAACTGCTACCAAAAGTTTTCTGTTAGGAAGATACTCAGTTAAATTCGGAATACTTTTAACATGCTGGACCTCAGACCTCAGGAAAATTGATCCACTTAAGTATTTTAAGTGTTTCTTTTTATTGGTAAGATGTTCATGCAGTCAACGCTAATCTTTTTCTGGAAAGGTGATGCAGACACACTGAAAATTCTACTTTGTCCTTTGTGGTGTTTTAAAACAGTCTTATTCCTGCATAATTTATAATAAGAAACACTGACTCAGATTTTTCCCAGTGTCTATCATTAAAATGTGGAGGCAGAGGGTGGGAAGTATAGTGTATTTTCTTCTTGTATTCTCTGCAATAAAGCTTCCCAAAGAGCACCATTCTGTATGACCCAAATCATTTTGTTTTAAGGAAATAAAATATTCTAGCTTAGCTATGTTTCCACCTTCTCTTTAAGGAAGCTAATACTGATTTACAATTTTCAAATTTTATTCTATGTTGAATAAAGACTAAGAGGAACCCTGCTCCCGAAAACAGGACAAAGAGAAAGAAGATCTGGGAATCAAACTCAGATTTAACTCAAAATGATGTCTTAACAACCATTCTTTAATTCAAGACCTCAGTAGAATCTCAGCTTTGTAATACAAATTATGTCTAAGGTAGAATGATTCCCAAAGATTTAATTTATCCTTTTGAAAATCAGATTAAATATTAGACTGTCATTTTCAATAAATGATAGGTATCAGAAATCAATATGTGCCAGATATATATGAATTAATTTTAAAAATCAGAGTTGAACATTGTTCCAACATCATCGACTTCATTTGAATAATTTTTAGCAAAACATTCTCACTTTATAATCCCATTTAAACAGGATTCTTCTCTAACAAGAGGAAGCGTCTCTTCTAGTCTAGATAAAATTAGAGAATCCAGTGCAAGTGGAAGTAATAAAAGGAACCAGCTCTGGTCCTAACCAGGAAGGCTAGCTGTAGAAGTGAGACAAGTCATCATAATTAAGGCATAGAATAAAACAGTTGAGAACTGATCAGAAATACTGACAAGAAAATCAGAATGAAAATGGATTTTATAAACCGACTCCCCATCACTGTCAAAAGTCTCCTCTTATTCTTTCCTTTAACAGAAAATATCCTGAACCGTCAAATTGAGCATAGAAAAAAATGGAGACGAGCAACCCCTAGCAGCACCAGAAGGGATCAGATCAAACAGTGAATAGATTCAATTTTGAAAAATAATTTTAAAATGCATGACAACTTTAAACACTTGAGCCTGCATGCCTAAGAGAGCCTCCCCCAGAAGCAGGTCCTGAGTCAAGGATTCAAGTGCAAGTAGTTTAGATTCAGAAAAGGCTGGACCAGGACTGCAACACAATGCGTGGGAAGAAAGGGCAACTTACAAAGGAAGTAGAAACATACCTCGGAATTGTCTCACTATGAGGGGGTGGGGCTGGGATGTTTATCAGCCATTGATTAAGTCAGTTTTAGCGGTGGGAGAACAGGGTGTTAATTCCTTAGCACTTGCAGAAGCCAAGCAGTTTTCCAGCCTACAAAGAAGACCTTCAGGCAAAAGAAGCCCTCCAGGCAGAGAGGACCAACAGACCTTCAGGAAGTATGCACAGAGACAGTTCCCCACCAGGAAGACTATAAGGTCCCAGGTACAGATGGGGCACTGAAAGCATCGTTCACACTGCTTCCTCCAAAATTTCACATTCGAGCCACCTACTCCTAAGCTATAAATACGCAATTTTAGCTTAGCCCTTACTTCTCCCCTTGACTCTACTTTATATTCTCCATAAATTAAGACTCTTCAGTCTATTCTCGCATTGTAAGTTCTTTAACATCAGCTTTGCTCTCAACTGAGTTATTAAAAAAAGTCACTCCTTCAGTAGTATTATGGTCTGTAATATGTCCATGAAAAATGATGGACTGGTCCACGGGGTAAGACCTTGGGCCATGCTAGCATTCAGAGAACCTTTTATGTTGCAAGAGCAGCAGAAATCACTGTGGCAGTTGCAAAAGTACACATTGTCCCAAAATAACAGGGAGGGAGCGGGGAAGGCAAATCTAAAACTGAAGTGGGAAGAAGCATTTCCAGTGAAAGGTCACTTCACTACTTGGAACACATATAGTCTTAAAAAAAAAAAAAGGTCCAATCTAACTATTCTTAGGCTGCAAGGACAGTTCATAATATATCAGCAGATTCCTTCTAGGTCTGAAATTTTCCTGTTTGCTTTTACTGTGGATGTAGTCAAAGGGAGAGGATAATGTGCCCAGGTACATTTTACCCCAAACAACCTTGGCTGATGGAAGCATTTGATAAATATTATGCTTCACAGTTTAAAAAAATCAAATCAGAAAATTCGGGAAATAGGCAGGAACTAATGGGACAAGAGCATTATAGAGTTCTTGGATTAAAGGAATTTATTGCCACTCAACAGAGGTATTGAGTACTGAACAAAGACGACCTGGTTAAAATGAGATTAAGTTGTGTAGAACTGAGATTGCCTAATCTAGCTTTAGTAACGTCATTATTTTTAAGAGAAATAAAAACGAAAAAGTAGACCAGTACACATCACTGAAAACTCTCTGGATGTTTTCACACCTGGTTTGGAGACCCATCCCCCGGCTTCTCCTTCTCCAAGTCCACTTACAAGCATTTGACAGAACCACTGCTGAACAAGGTCCCTTCCCAGGGGTAGGTTTCATATTTACGTAAAACTCAGGCCACACTACGAAACCCACCATTCCCTGAAGCAAACCATCCATTGTACAACGCAACAAGTATTTTAAAAATCAGACATCTCTTATTACAGTAAATGATAGATACATGAAGTCTGTCCCTTTAACATCTAAATCAGTGCCTTCTCAAGCCATCTGTGACGAAGGACCATTTTTTTTGTTATTACTTCTACTCTACTGTTACTGATACTTTCACAAGATGCATTCATTCAAGATGAATGATTAGAAAGTGAACTTTTTAAATGTATAAAATGTAAGCCCCAGTTATTACTGTTGTTATTGGGTTCAAGAGGCACAAAATTACTCTGTCAAATTTCTTTTTAAAAGCTTCTCAGCACTTACTCTCATTTCAGCCTTTATCTTGTCTCAGACCAGTAGCTGCTGGTGGGCAGCACTGGCCTGGGTCCACACTTCTGAGTAGCACTGACCTGACTAGCCAGGCACATACTTTTTCAAAAGATATACTTTACCTCTGACATTCTTTCCAAATCCTATAGAAGAAACTTTTTTGTCCACTTGTTCACAGTTGTTTGGTTTCTCCTTCACAACATCATCATCGCCAACAACATCAGCAGAATATTTTTTCTTTTTCTTTTTCTTGTGTCGAGGTGGAAGCTTTTTTGGAAAAGTAAACATTGGGAATATCACAAGAAACATTGCAATGGCACAAAGGAGGAATCCACTCCACCTAAAAAATCGGGAAATGTGAATAGTATTTACGGTTTTTGTATCTAGAGTGAGAACAAATTAGCAAAGCAGACATTTATGATGATAAATTCCTCCAGAGAAAACTTTTTACCTTCATCAGTTGTACAGCAGTTAAGAAGTTAGGAAACCTGAGAAAATACAGGAACCCTCCCTTTCTGCAGTATAAGTGAGAAATCTACCCAATGACCATACCACTACTATAATGAATATTATCATTAGCAGCCTGACTGGAATTTCATTCAAGTGTTTTTGAGCACATACGTGTTAGTTCTGCTCACTAACACTGTTAGTTCTACTACAATGTGCATTTTATTAGAAATCAGCGGCTCATAAATTTAATAGAAAAACAATATAAACTGCATAGCATGCTTTATGGACCAATACAGATACTTTTTTCTCAAGAGAAAACCATTAATACCTGGTGTGAAGTCATGTCAAATTGCTGATGGCATTTAAATATTTTTCTGCAAGCACTTGAGAAGGTATTGACCCTTCTGAGCTGGCCTTCCCTAAACTTAAGCAAGTGAGAGTGCTGCTAAAGACATTTACACTTGCTCTTTGCCATCAAGAACTTACAACCTAGTTGTAAGAGAGCTAAAGATACAAGAAACAATTCCCAGAAATGCAAGAATGTCCATGATTAAGTGTTAGATCATGTTAGATCACAGAAGATGAACACTATACAAATTCAGAGGGGAAATCAACGGGTCAGAAAGTTTCTGAGGCAAAGTAGAACTGAAGCTAAGTAGAATTGAGATTCTGTCTTTAAACTCATCTAAGGTTGCCATGCGGCAGAGGTTAGGAAGCGAATACCAGCGTAGATCTCAGATTCTAGCCTTGTATTAGAACCATGTGGTAAGGCCTTGTGCTTCTTGCCTGCATAATTTCCCAAGGGCAATTTTTCAGTCTCCTTCCAGCCTTTCCTTAGCAAATAGAGGTCCCTGGTCATGCCTGAGGTGGCCTAACATGCCTTTCCAACCAGGATTCCTCAGCTCCAAACTCTGCCTCAAAGCTTCGAAGTTCATAAATGCTCAGATTCTGGCCTCGGTATCAATGTTACCATCGGCTGTTATCAGAATGCAAGCAGCGTTCTAAGCATTCATGTTGACGACAACCCAGTGAGAATCCAGATCAAGTGCAAAGTGAAAATTCGTTTTTTAGAAAAATAAGTGTTTCTATTAAAATGCTGTTATCAGCTGCTAAAGGTCACAGGTTAGCTGAGAGGATGACTCCTAGAACCAGTCATTAACAATCCACTGTGCTGTTTTCAAAGATACTTAACATTATATCCAATTAAGATATCAAATAATCAGAAAAAGGTTTTATTTTGAGAAGACGGCTCAAGGCAGACTTCCAGCAACCTCAGTTATTCAGTATATAATCACGAACCCAGTGCCTGACACAGGTTAGGTGCTCAAAAATTTTCCTAAATAAATAAACTGAATGAGATAGGTTTTTAAAAACCAGAGTCATCTGCCTGCAGGGAGCAGAGTTATAATAATATCTGGCCCTGTTTGTACTTGGCTGCATACAAGGCCTTTACTAACCCAGCCCTGCTGTTACGGTTCTTGAATTGCTTTTTGCAAACTCTGCATTCAAGTCCCCTGAACCCCTTACTTCCCGGGATCTGTCACACTCTCTCCAGAAGAGGGCAGGCAGCCGAGTGTCAGAGGCAGTCTCGAGCTGTGGTTTCAGACAGACTTGGGTTTTTATCCTGTCTTTACCACTTACTAGCTCTAAGATCCTGAGGAAATTAGTCAGCTTTTCTTTCTCTCTTTCTTTCCTTCTTCCTTTCTTTCTTTCTTTTTGCTGTACAAATACTAGATAGGTTTTGCTGCTAAATAGTTATAATGCTTATCACTAATCATACACAACAGGAAAAAGAGGAAATGGCAGACGTTTGCAAAATATTATTAGTGAGAAATTAGACAATTCAAGAAAAATCGAAGACATATATATGCATGGTTAGCTTTTCTGAATGGGCTTTCTCATCTGAAAGGGGGGTAATAATAACTTTGGGGGGGTCATCAAAATCAATAAGACAATATATAAGACCTGATAAAATGCCTAGCCTCAAATCAGCAGTCAATTCATAGCAGCTAGTTTTGTTTCTCATAACAAACTCAGGGCCCCCACCTCCACTCAGAGCCACTGACATAAAATTACAAGCAAACATTAAAGACGCCCTCAGAGTAGCTCGAAAGGAGAGCAAATAACAGAAGAAGGGGGAGAATTACAGTGAATAAACAAAAATAATGTAAAAGTCTGGGGCCTTTTCTAAGCAGAGCAAACCAGCCCACATTCTTCAACATTCTCCAGGAACATCAAAGTTAACACATGATACAACCGCATGTGTAAAGCTGAGTCAGGCAAGAAAATGTGCATTATATGCGGGAAACAGCTACATCAGTCAGAGCTAAAATTGAAAAGCCACGGCCCTAACTCCCTTTCATGAACCATCGCTCAGAGACACTCCCTACTGAAGGGAGGACAGATAAGCATATTGTCTAAGACCTCCCCCCTGGACTCAGTTCCCTATCCGTCTCTCACTGATTCTGTGGCTTTGGGCAAGGTATTCAAATTGGTGAGCATCAGTTTCCTCATCTGCATAATGGGCATACCATTAGTGACTACATACGGTTGTTATAAGGCTTAAATGAAAATGCTTGTAAAGCATTTAGTATAATGCTTGACGCACAGTAGGCACCCGGTAAATATCAGCATCATTCACTCAGTCTTTCCTTCACTCTTCCAGCATCTATTCACCAAAAACCCTGTCATTACCACTAGGCATCATAAAAAATAACATTGTATCAGATAACACTGTCTCTGTTCAAGGTAGATGTCTGTTACAAACAGGGCTACTCAATAAACAAAAATTCATTTCCAAAGAGACCCCTATTATGTATTTCTAGATGGACAACTTTACCATTTGCAGAACTGCTATGGAGCCATTGAAATGAACAAAACCACTTGAACACTGATTAAATCCAAAGGATTGAATAACAGCAAACACACATTATGGAGCAAGAACTATTTACAGCTCCACATACATAGACCCATTTATTCCTTACAGCAACCTTACTGCAAGTAGGTACTGCAACTACTTCCACTTTATGGATTAAAACAGAACAAAACCTGAGGCTCAGAGAAGTTAAGTAACTTCCCCAAGGTCACACAGTTACTAGGTAGCAGACTGGGGTTTAAACCCAGGGGAGTATAGCTTGAGGGTCTGCACTCAGTCTGTCCACTTTGCTACCAATTGGGTTGACGTCCATTAGAAAACTTCTGGAAAACAGCGTAAGGCCTTGTGTCCTAAAGCTCCTGCCTTCTCCCTTCTCCCTGCCCCTGAGCTGGTCCCCTGCGCCTCTCTCTCCCCCTCCAGATGTTCCCTTATTGCCCTGTTCTTCTCATGGATTCTATAGAGAACACAGACTGTACATGGGATGTTCACAGACACATTTGAATAATCTGGTTTTCTGGGAATTTTTTTAAAAATCCTTACTTTGAATTATTTCAAAGAAGTGCAAAGAAGACAGCCATTGTGACCAAAAATCTCACTATGGATCAAGACCTTAAAATTCCTGTGTTATTCCCCTACTGCTGACAAGGGAACTCCCTTTTGAACAATTAGAAAATTCTACCAGGCAAGGCTCATCTAGGTCTCAGCACTTCCATTCTCAAAGAGTATTTACTTATGAAAATAAGAAGTGTTCTATAATTTTATTAACATTTATTAACTGCTTAGAAAATACTGCTAAACATTACGCCCACATACCTCAAGCTATGGGGTTATTATCTCATAATGAAACACAGAGAGAACACAAGTCGTCTAAGAAACTCTTTAGAAAGTAATTACTTGGCACTAGTTTCTAATAATGAAATACTCTCTCTGTTTGAAAATGAACACTTCTTATCCATGTATACCTACTACTAACCCATGTTAAATGAATTCGGGATGCTGACACATCCAGTTAGTGCTTGCAGTCATGAAAAAATAACTTATGTTCAAGATGAGGACTGAGAAGAATTCAGATGCAGCCCTGGGTAGATGGATAAATAATCTACCATTCAAAGTTGGAGCTCTCATTCTAAGTCCTAAACGTACTGATTTAGCAAGACAGTTAAAGGACACTAAGGGAGAGAGCAGCTGAATCTGCAGCACACCCGGGAAACAAACAATTACTGAGCGCGAGGATTCACTAAGAGTGTGGCAGTGGACAGTGGGGGAAGACGAAGCAGAAACACAAATACAATGAGGAAGTGGGGAGAAAATACTTTTTTAAAGGCACAGAAAAGATAATGAAAGCTATGATTAACGTACACAGGAAAGTCCCAAGACAGCCACGTTCCCCTTTTCCTTCACTCGGCTATGAAGAAAAGAGCCGTCTGAATCCCAAAGAATGTGGATGAAGCCCTTGCTCTCAACTCTTCCAAAAGAGTTTCTTAGGTGATAACAGATCACCACACCCTGCATGGCTTAGAGCAACACAAATGTTTTATCTTATTATATTATCTTCTGGAGGTCAGATGTAAAAAAGTGGGTTGGCAGGGCTGCATTCCTTCTGGAGGCTCCAGGGAAGAACCCATTTCTTTGCTTTTCCCAGCTTCTACAATCCACCTTGGCTCGTGGTCATTTTCAAAGCACATCACCCCAAACTCTCCTTCAACCATCGTAACTTCTTCTCTTACTCTGAACCCCCCTGCCTCTTTCTTTCTGTTATAAGAACCCTTGTAGTTATATTGGACCCATCTGGATCATCCAGGATAATCTTCCCATCTCAAGATTCTAAATTCAATCACATCTGCAAAGTCCTTTTGCCACGTAGAGGTAACACATTCACAGGTTCTGGGGATTCAGATATCTTTGGGGATTATAATTTCCACTATCTCTGTAAAAGGCATGAGTGAGAAGGTCCAAATGGACATGGATATCTTTGAGGATTATTATTCTGCCTACCACCCCCTCCTAGGTGACATTTAGCTGTTTTTTTGTCTTCTCATTCTGGAAATTTTTATTTTAACCACAAGGGGTCTATGACTCTATCATAGTAACAAGTGAAATAAAAGATTTAGCAAACAATTCTTACCAGTTTCCAATGAAACGAGGATCATTCTGGTTAAGATGAACGGGATTTCTGGGATCAACATAAAAACCAATAAGAAGTCCACCTAATAAATATCCCACTGCAGGACCAAGTGCGCCCATGACATACATGATGGCTGAGAAGACAGAAGGGGAAATGTGAAATGTAACATCGTGTTATTTGTTTCAGTAGCTGTCTAATGTCAATCACACCGTGCATAGATCACAGATAAATCCAGTTAACAACTTCCCAAAACAGAGAACTTTAGCGGTTGTGTCTGTGTTAACATTGGAGTTTCAAGCTGTATCCTTTATTTAACTGTTGCCTATTGTCCTCTTAGAACATCACAGCTAGAAGATTCTAACAGGTTGAGGGAACTCAAAGGACAGTTTTTCTGGATTCAGTTGAATTGGCAAAGCTGCTTAAATATCCTCAAATCACTAATATTTTTCAAATCACCACTTTAGAATCAAAGACCTCACAATGCATTAGGGTTATTGTTAATTGAGAAATATTACTTAAAAATTAATCAAGCTCCTTAAAAGTCGTGAGTGAGAAGGTCCAAACGCAAAACACAAACCCACAGCTGAAATAGAAAAGTTTTTAAAGCACAGGTCCATGGGGAGCTTACTGTCAGTAGACCAGAAAGGTGGTCATTCTATCCAAAAAATGTGGCCATCAAAATGGGCATTATAGCACAAACAACAGCAACAAATTCACTGTCATTTCTTCACATTGCTTTCACTGCTGTAATTAAAATTTTTTAAATAAATAATATTTTCCCAAGTTTTAAATTTTGAGGTAGGATGTGAAATTCCTTGAAAGTCACAGAAAAATCCAACCACCCTTCAAACTCACTTTTCCTCCTGTTAAAACGCAGTTTGGGGACAAATCCATAAACATTTCTAAGAGTTTACAAGTCATGAAATAAACTCAGGTGATAACTTGCTTCTCATTCCTGTTGCTGTCATGTATTTTAACCAAAAAATAAATAAATGACTTGTCATATCTTTAAATAGTACCAAAAAGCAAATTGGACTTATCATAATAGCTTCACCTGACTTTATGCTCCGTGACCTAAATAAACGTTGAATAATTTTGTCCTTCCTGTTATAACTGCAGACGGTGATTTAACACCTGCTCTCACTCTCCTCAGCATTTCCAAAGAGAAAGCGCAGTGTTTATTTATTTTACAGAATCGTCTGCTTGTAACAGCAAGACATTAGGTTCTTCTCCATCTATGTTTGGAAATGAAGAACAGAGGCACAGCCACAAGTGAATGGCATTCTTCGGAAGCATGCATTTAATAATGTAAAATTAGAATTCTGATAGATATCTTGTTAACCTTTTGTTGATAACCTAAAACTGAACTCAAGATTAGAAAGTATTTTTTTCAGCACCAGGTTTCCCGTACGCGTAGGAAGATAAAATTGATGTTTACACCTCCAGGCAAAGCAGCGCCATCTACAACTTAAAACTGTAATGAGGCCAAAATGTGACATGAATCATCTTCCTGAAATAGTTCTTCTGGCATGAAAGGGACTGTCTTACAAACACAGATGGGGAAAGGGTATTTCCGCCACACTGTTTATGCCCAGGGCACTCGAGCGCTGCATCTTGGAGAGCCAAGAAGTGACGTGCAGGATGTATACTGGCAGGACCACGCGATGAACCAGTGAATGGAAAACCAAATAAATAACATTCACCGAGAAACCCCAACTGCTTTAGGACATAGAGACAAAGCTTTCTTAAATTCAGCTATACATAATCATAAAAATTCATTTTTATTATATAGCAAATAATTTTAAGTCCAATGGAATCATTCTCACTGACAGAAGTCTGCATGTACACCTACATAAGTATATCTACAATTACACTACACGCTATACTATGTAACAAAGTGCAACCACTATGCTCTAAACAGAAACATGCTTATATATGTGTGGATATATATCAATAACTGTATGTGTATGTATAATAACTTACTGATACGTTCTCATTCAGTACATAAATCATTCTGGCCATTGAGTTAACATTTGTTAATTCGGTAACTAATGGCCTTCATTCAGAGCTTATCAGAGGAGCGAACTGTTGAAGCAAATTCAACCACTAACAGTCCCATTCAAAAAGTCCCCATCACGCCTCACTGCCCAATGTAAAAATTCTATTTGGAGTTCAAGGGTGGGACAAGTTGGCCAATCTACTGCCTGTACTCAGGGCTCCATGTGGACCGATGCGTAACAGGCCTGGGCAGAGCCACCTCCCTTCCTCTGTGGCTCCCATGGTGCAACCCCCGCCCCCACCTTTCTGTCTGAACTCTGCCCAGTCCTCCAGGCCCTGCCACGTCCAGCACTGACCACCCTCACCTGAGTGCTCTCTCCCTCCTCAAAATCCCTGCAGACAATATACTGTCTATGCCAGTGGCCACAACTTTTCACTGCGCATCCCACCAGTAAAAGGTTGTAAACCTGGACCCCCGGTGTACTTTTCAGTAACAGACTGTGTATGTACCATTCGTCTCCGTCTCACAGCTCAAATCTGGATCAGTAAACCCTGCTGGTTCTACCAACAAACCATGCCCAATATGCAGCTCTTTCTCCGTGCCTTTACTGTGATCCAAGCCACCATCATCACCCGTCTGGAAAACTGCTCTGGGTTTTCCAGCGGGCATCCATGCCTCTGTCCTTACTTCCAACGTATTTCCAACACAGCCTTCTAAAGGAGCCTCTAGAAACACGAGCCAGATCACATCACTTCTTTGTTCACCCGCTCCAGTGTCTTCCCATTCCACTCCCAATAAAAAGCCAAAGTTCTTTTCTGTGGCTACTAGGACCTCCCACACGCTTGACCCACACCTATTATCCATTTGGTCTCCATCCCTCTCCTGTTCACTGGGTTCGAGGTGCACTGACCTCCTTACGCTTCATCCTTCCAGGAGCGGTGCCATGTTAGTGTGTTAGTACTTGCTCTGGGCGGGGGTTTTTTGGGGTGGGGAGTGTGTGTGTGTGGGCATTGGTCTGCCCCTAGACAGCCACATGGCTCATTCCCTTACTTCCTCTAGGTAGTAACTCTGTTCCTTCTCACTGAGGCCCTACTGGGCGATGCTATCTAAAATCTACAACTCTTTCCCCGACTCTGCTGTATTTTTGTTCCCAGCATGTATCACTCCCTAATACACCATACATTGCCTTGGTTCATCTTATTTGTCACCTGTCCTCCCCGACTAGAACGGATGCTTCACACGGTGTCCCCCACACCCAGGTGTGCAGGAGGCATCAACCCCATTCACTCCCGTTGTTCATGACCTTCAACTCTCCCAGTGAGTCTGAATCATCCACCATCATTAAGAACAGCGATGTCAGTGACACAGTTCTCCCTCAGTGTCTATCATCTCTTGAGACACTAGCTAATGACATAGATGTCCATCCATATTCATACAGTGAACTTGATAATTCCATGGTTTTGACTGTGTCTCATCAGATGTGATTACACCATCACTGGTTTTCTCTGGGAGGACTGGCTGTTCAACAAGCTAGCAACAGACACACACACGTGTAAGTTCCAATCCCGTCTTCCTGCCTGCCTCCCCACCTGAACGCTCTCACATACCCCCTAGGTTGTGCACAACTCCCCTCTGAGGGAGCACTGGACCATTCCATTCTTCTGAGATGAAATGTACCCTGCTCTTTACTTCCACTTCTCCCTTCAAATATTTGTCTTCTCTTTTGAAGTAGCTCTTCCTCCTTGACAGGAGAAATCATACCATGTATAGTACTATGCAGTAGTTAAAACGCAGGCTCCAGCCTTCTGGGGTTTATATCCCTGCTTCAGTTCTTCCTGACTGTGTGACGTTAGCCAGTTGCTTAACCTCTCTGAGCCTCAGTTTCCTCATCTGTAAAATTGGGATGGTAAAAGTACTTACTCAAGGGGCTATTATAGGCATTAACTGAGTTAATTTTTGTACAGCATGTGGAATATCTGGCACATGGTGAGGGCTATGTAAGACTATGCTGGTTTCATTGTTGTTACTATTTTACAATAACTGATGCACACAGTTTAGTGTTTGGGCATGGGAGGCATTCAATACATATTTATGGGTTGGTTACATATGTGTATCAACCATGTCTTTTATTTCCTGTATTCTTACGTTTTGACATCTGAGGATTTACAGACCCCAGAGGGACTGCCCTTCCCAGGGTTAGCCAACCCCTAGAGATGGCAAACAACTCTAACAGTGAGAGTGCACTTTTCAAATACAAACCAACCAATCCGGAGCCCCGACTCAAACCACCTCTTTTCCTGACTTCCCACTCCAGGCCGCTATCCACCTCCCTAGTCCCCCAGAGGCCAGGAACCAGAACCAGGGACAGCGCCCGCACCCCGGAGCCCGCTGATATTCAGACTAGCCAGTCCTAAGCCAGCTCACCCGCAGGCCTCACCCATTCCTCCCTGGGGAAACGACAATAAAGGCTGGAGCCCACGATCCCGCCCTCCCTCTACCTGCAGCTGCCGCTGCTGCTTCCTCGTGCGGCCCCGCGGTGTCACGTGCCCCTTCTCGGCAACCGTCAGCCGCAGACTGTCTTTTCCCTGGCAATCGTCTCCTAACCTGTCGGCCTCGCTAAACCTCCAGTTTTCTATTCATACACTGTGTTTTAGAACGACATCACGACCACGGTTCCTCCAGTGCAGGACCTGCTTTCTCAGTGACCCACGTGGCGGTGAATGCTGCTGGGAATGGATGCTGACAGGGGTTTAGATGACAAGTAAAATTTAGGCTCAGTGTCAGGACCTGGGATTGCCACCAGGATCGTCCCGCAGAGAAACGTCTTGCATCCTTGCCTCACATGCCTACCAAACCCACCTGGGACACAGGCAGAGGAGGTCGCCCTCGAATGTGTCTCACAGCTACTACACAGACCAGGAGGATGTGAAACTCAAGCCACATGTCACCGCGACACGGTAGCAATGACACCAACTCTCACTCAACTTGCATCGTTTCTTGAAAATGAGCCAGGGCTCTCCCCGAGCACCAGGGCGCTGTGCGGCAGGGAAATCGTCCCTGGCGCATTCCTTCACTCACAGGCACAGGCAGATAAGAGACTTCTGATCTCGGTTATTTTGAGCAGCAAGCTTTTT